GAGCTGGTATAGCCATTCTTATATCACACAACATAGACTTTAAACTGTTAAAAGAGACAAAGAAGAACACCGTGTAATGATTAAGGGATCAATTCAACAAGAAGATGTGACTATTACAAATCTATATGCACCTAATTACAAAACCTATGCAAACACATGGAGACTGAACAACATGCTCCTGAATAAACAGTGAGTAAGAAATCAAAAGAGAAATCAAAAAATTTCTGGAAACAAATGAAGACAACAATACAACATATCAAAATTTATGGGATCCAGCAAAATCAGTGTTAAGAGGAAAGTTTATAGCAATTTGTGCCTACATCAAGAAATTGGAAAGGCTCCAAATAAATGAGCTCTCAGTGCATCTCAAGGACCTAGAAAAATAATAGCAAATGAAACTCAAAACTAGTAGGAGAAAAGAAATAATCAAAATTAGAGAATAAACAAAATTGAAACCAAATAAACAATACAAGAATCTGCAAAACCAAGAGCTGGTTTTCTGAAAAAATAAAAATTGACACACCATGGTTCCAACTACCAAAAAATGGAGGAAGATTACCCAAATCAACAAAATTAGAGATGGAAAAGGAAATGTAACAACAGACACCACAGAAATAAATTACTATAAAGAGCTGTGTGCCAACAAATTGGGAAACCCGAACAAATGGATAGATTCCTGGACACATATAACCTACCTAAATTGAGCCATGAGACATAGAAAACCAAAACATACCAACAATCATGATGGTAATTGAATATGTAATAAAGAACCTCCCAACAAAGAAAAGCCCAGGACCAGATGGCTTCACTGCTGAATTCCAATAAACATTTTAAAAAGAACTAGCTTCAATTCATCTCAAGCTATTCAAAACGATTGAAAGGGAGGGAATCCTCCCAATTCCTTCTATGAAGCCAGCATCACCTTAATTCCTAAACCTCAAAAATATGCAACAGAAAAAGAGAACTACAGACCAATTTCGCTGGTGAACATAGATGCAAAAAATCTTCAACAAAACTCTGGCCAATCACATCCAACAAAACATCAGAAAGATCATTCTCCTGGACCAATTGGGATTTATCCCTGGCATGCAAGATGGTTCAACATATGTAAATCAATCAATGTGATACATCACATTAACAAGCTGAAATACAAAAACCATATAATGACCTCAAAAGATGCAGAGAAAGCATTTGATAAAACACAATACCCTTTCATGATGAAAACTCTAAGCAAACTGCATATAGAAGGAACATTCATCAACAGAATCAAGGCAATTTATGACAATGCCATGGCCAGCATCCTATTGAATGGGGAAAAGTGTGACGCATTCTCACTGAGATCAGGAACTAGAGAAAAATGCCTACTCTTACCATTGCTATTTAATACAGTCCTGGAAGTTTTAGCCAGAAGCATTAGACAAGAAAAAATCAAAGGGATTCAAATTAAGAATGAGGAAATCAAACTATCCCTATTTGCAGGTGGCATGATTCTATATACAGGGGATCCAAAAGACTCCACCAAGAGACTATTGGAACTCAAAGAAGAGTTTGGTAAAGTAGTAGGATGTAAAATCAATACACAAAAATCAACAGCCTTTGTATACACAGAAAATGCCACAGCTTAGAAAGAACGTCTAAGATCAATCTCATTCACAATAGCCACAAAAATAATCAAATACCTTGGAAAAAAATTTAACCAAGGATGTCAAAGATATCTATGATGAGAATTACGAAACATTGAAGAAAGACATAGAAGAAGATAAAAAAATTGGAAAAATTGTCTGTGTTCATGGATTGAAAGAATCAATATCATCAAAATGTCCATTTTTCTGAAAGCAATCTACAGATTCAACACAATACCTATCATAATACCAGACATTCTCCTTAGATCTAGAAAAAATGATGCTGAAATTCATATGGAAACATAGGAGACCTCGAACAGCTCAAGCAATCTTATACACCAAAAACAAAGCTGGAAGCATCACAATACCAGATCTGAAGACATATTACAAGGTAATTATAATAAAAACAGCCTGGTACTGGTACAAAAACAGATGGATAGACCAATGGAACAGAATAGAAACACCAGAAATCAATCCAAACATCTACACCAACTTTTATTTGACCAAGGAACTAAAACCAAACCCTGGAGCAAGGACAGTTTCTTCAACAAATGGTGCTGGGAAAATTGGATTTCCACATGCAGAAGAATGAAGCAGGACTCCTATCTTATACCTTATATGAAAACCCATTCAAAATGGATTAAAGACCTAAATCTATGACCTGATACCATCAAATTACTAGAGAACATTGGAAAAACCCTTCAAGACATTAACACAGGCAAAGATTTCTTGGAAAAGATCCCAGAGGCATAGGCAATCAAAGCCAAAATCAACAACTTGGATTACATCAAACTGAAAAGCTTCTGTACTGCAAAAGAAACACTCAGGAAAGTGAAGAGATGACCTACAGAATGAGAGAAATTATTTGCAAACAAGTAACTGATAAAGGATTAATAACCAGAATCTACAAAGAGATCAAGAAACTCCACAACAACAAAACAAACAACAAATTAAGAGATGGGCCAAGGACTTAAGCAGACGTTTTTCAAAAGAGGAAATTCAGATGACCAACAGATACATGAAAAAATGCTCAGGATCAGTAGCTGTCAGGGAAATGCAAATCAAAACCACAATGAGGTTTCACTTCACCCCAGTTAGAATGGCTTTCATAAAGAAATCAACAAACAACAAATCCTGGCGATAATGTGGGGGAAAAGGTATCCTAAGCCACTGTTAGTGGGAATGTGAACTGGTAAAATCACTATGAAAATCAGTTTGCAGATACCTCAGAAATCTGAATATAGACCTACCATATGACCTAGCCATCCCACGCCTGGGAACTTACCCAAGGGAAATAAAGTCAGTAATTAAAAGAATTGTCTGCATCCCCATGTTTATTGCAGCTTAAATCACAATAGCTAAGTCATGGAATCAACCTAAATGCCCATCAACTGAAGACTGGATAAAGAAATTATGGGATTATGTATTCTATGGAATACTACACAGTGGTAAAAAAAGAAAAAAGTGAAATCTGGTCATTTTCAGCAAAATGGTTGAATCTGGAAAACATCATACTTAGTGAAATAAGCCAGCCCCAAAGGGACAGATACCACATGTTCTCCCTGATCTGTGATAACTAATAGAGCACCTAAAAGGAAATCTGTAGAAGTGAAATTGACACTTTGAGAAGCAATGACTTGAACAACCATTGTCTTGACTGTCAAGGAACAGTTGTTTTGTTTTGTTTTGTTTTGTTTGTTTTATTCTTAATGGAGAATGGGACTGGGAATGGGAGAGGGAGAAGGAGGTGGAGTGGGGTGGGTGGGTATGGTGGGAAGAATCACTATATTCCTAAAGTTGTACTTATGCAATTTGCACTCATTAAGTAAACTGTTTCTTTGGAAAAAAAATAAAACACAAGTCCAATCATCCCAAACTACTTTGTGCAATTCCAGAGCCATCTATACATGTTCTCCTAGTCAAGAAACTGGTAATTCTAAGGACCATTTAGCCTAAAAACTCAGGTCTCCCCAGTCTTCCCTGAACCTCCCCATCCCCACTCAATATACAAGGATATCATGCTAATAAATGATCCATTATTCTCAGCTGAGTAGGAAAAAACCCAAGTGCTGTCAGATCAGGGCTGAAGAGGCCAGCTAGCTACTTCACAGAGGATGCATGGTGCCGTGCACAGTGGAATCTCACACAGCTCTTAATCAAGCCCCAGTGCTAAGAGCTTAATGGGACACCATGGCATTACATCCTGGAGAGTTTAAATTAAAGTTTGAGACACCCCCAAGACATGCACAGTACTCCAATTAACACTAATTGCATTACACTTGATTATCAAATGAAAAACACGGTTTTCCTTAAAATGCCTCTGCCTTTCCCCTGTTTTAAAAAGCCCAGTAATTCTAAGAAAGCAATCATGGATGTATGCAAAGATTACTTAGCAGAATGTCTAGCGTGGTATTTATATTTGTGGAACACCGGAAACAACTTAAATACCTATAATGAGGGACTGTGTCCATAGAAAATAATAGAGACAAAAGCAGTAACTGTATAATGTTATGAATAATTTGGACGCAAAGTGTTCATGATACATTGGTAAATGGAAAAACTTACAGGAATTGTAAAAAAGATAAGATACCACTTTTCTCCACAGCACAAGCAGAAAGGACTAGAAGGGTATAAATATTAAAATGCAAAGGACAGGTGTTTCTGGGTGGTAAGAATAGCACTGATATTTATTTTATTCATTTGTATCTCTACTTTTCTCTTTTTAAAAATGCGTTATCTGGGGCCTGACATTGTGGAGTAGTGGGTAAAGCCACTGCTTGTGATGCCAGCATAACCATATAGGCACCGGTTCTGTCCTGGCCATTCCACTTCTGTTCCAGCTCCCTGCTAATGCAGCTGGGAAAGCAGCAGCAGATGGCCAAAGTGCTTGGGGCCCTCCCGCCATGTGGGAGACCTGGAAGAAGCTCCTGGCTCTTGGCTTCAGCCTTGCCCAGCACTGGCTGTTACAACCATCTGGGGAGTGAACCAGCAGATGAAAGATCTCTCTCTGTCTCTCCTCTGTCTCTCCCTCTCTCTCTGTGACTATGACTTTTAAATAAATAAATATATTTTTAAAATGCATTACTTTTGCAAAAAGAAAATGTCATTTTTCAAAGACCATTGTTTATTTCTGTAGAGTAAGTGCATCACTGAGATTTAATTTGGAATTTTTTAAGTCAACCCTTGATCTACACAACTTCTGTGTAGAGCATTGAGAACTTTGATCAGTACTGTGTGAAGAGTATTCAATGACAGTATGAGAGTTGACAAAGTTTTACATGTGTGAAAAGGCAAGCACTGCAGTGAGTGGCTACAGATTCCTGCTCTCATCTTCAAGTCCAAAGAGGGTGCGTTGATGTCCCTTTGTTTCTCTTCCAGAGCCAAAGATGTTTGTCTTGCTCTATGTTACAAGTTTCGCCCTTTGTGCAAGTGGACAACCTCGAGGACATCAGTTCAAAGGAGAGAGCTACACCCCGAGATACATCTGCAGCATTCCGGGCTTACCGGGACCTCCGGGCCCCCCAGGAGCAAACGGTTCTCCTGGGCACCACGGCCGCATCGGCCTTCCAGGCAGAGATGGTCGAGACGGCAGGAAAGGAGAAAAGGGGGAAAAGGGATCTGCAGGTAATGAATAATGAAGTCCCACAGAACACCCCTTTGCTCCCACTGTACAGCTGCTCCTTCTCTGTGTTGCTTTCTGGTGAGAAGTGTTCAGATGCTGCCCTGAATTCTTTGCTGAATCCCCATGCAACAGTGATGACAGCTTCTGCTGGTGGACGTCGTCCCATTATGTAGAGGAGAAAATTAAGCCCCAGTGTCTTAAATGAATTGCTGAGGGTGGATGCAGACGCATGTGTGCTGCTGGTGAGCTGGACTCAGAGCATCTGAGGCCTGGAGCCAACGGATATTCTATTATACAGGAGTGACTGGATATGTGAGTGCATGGATGGACAGACAGACAGGTGGGCAGGAAGGAAGACAGAGCAACTAAGCAGAGGCAGAAATTAGTCACCAGATACAAAGGTACTGCCTTGCTTGGCACTGAACCAAAGATACCTAACAAGATTCTAGATGCTATTTTTCACGGATGGAATGACAATGACACTGCATGGCCTGACTCTCCTAGCTCATCACAGTCCCACCTTTCCTGTAGCAGTTACAAAATAGATTTCCTGTAGCTCGGCACAGCAACACAATTGTCCCCTAGTCCTTCGGTAATGTTCACTCTTGTTCTCCACAAATGAGTTGGCCTGGGAAGCTTGCCAGACTCTGCAATTCTTCAGAGTAAACCAAACTGCAATTCTTGAGAGGCTGTGTTAATCTAAAAGAGGAAGGGATTTGGAATCAATCTTTGAAAATAAATTTCTGTGTAAAAACTGGGACAAAGGAAAGGAACAAAAAATCAATAGATCTAAGAAAGTGCCCCTGTCTAATCATTGCACCTGATTCAGTGGTGTTCTGTGAAACAGCATTATAATATATATTCAGGTTATTGGTTAATAATTCATTTCTAAATGTGGCATGCAGAAAATATTTGGCAAATCAATAACTACCAAATCTATGCACATTGTTCAGCATCAGAGAAAGCACTTTTAATGTGATGCTTGAGTGTAACCTGTGAATATAATTTACCACATAGTCATAATTATGAATATCCCAGAGTTCCTGTATAACTCCAGAATCAGAGTTATATATTGCTGTCTCTTCTGATTTACTGTGTCTGGAAGCAATAATGTAGTCACTGCTCAAGTAAGCATTGGAGTCAGAGATTAGGCTCAAATCTTGGCCCCTACAACTACTAACTTAGTATCCTTGGGCAAATAGCCTCTCTGAACACCAATTTCCTCATCTGTAAGTTGGCAGTAGTAAGGGTAATGGTGAAGTTTAAGGGGAAGAACACCTAAAATTGACCCCGCAAAATAACTTCCATGCCGTATGCACTCAGCCAATGTTAGCTATTATTACATGCTACATTTTAATATGTACAGATAGGTCACAGAAAAATTCATGACTACCCAATGCCATACAACAAGTCATAAATGAGAAACAGAGGAAATCAGGTTAAATTCAATATTAAGAATCGCTGCAATTTTAACCATCTCTGAGGCCAACTCTACTCCAATAGCCACCAGTACATTCACTCACCCATACATTACTCACTCCACAAGCTTTTTGTAAGTGCACCTGTTACTATCCAGCATTATTCTAGACCAGTGTTTCTCAGCCTCTACACGAATGACACGTGGGTCGTGCAGGCTTCTACTGTGAGGAGGCTGCCTGTGCACTGCACCCTGTTGAGCAACATCCCTTTAACTCTGGCAGCTGCTAAGGTCTCCAGACTTTGCCAAGTGCCCTGAGGATAGAAATGCAGGCAGTGCAAGTTAAAGCTGGGTGAGACACTGTTCTAGGCATTGGCAACAGAAGCTTGAATAAGACATTGTCTTTGTCTTGATAAACAGACTTTCAAGTGGGAGAAGCCAATGTGTAACTGCATAACTACAACATATAATAGCAACCATTCAGAAAGAACTTAATTTAGTATTTAAAGTCCACTGGAACCCTACTAGCAATAATACTAATGTTACCAATGGAAAAAAATGAGATTCAAAAATAAAGTTACTTTCCCAACCTGAGACTATTTAAATTCAATGTACATTTATATATACATAAGGACATGTAACAGCTCAGAAAGTTAAGGTAGGAATGACAATATGATCAAAAGAGAAGCGTGCACCACTTAGAAACTGCTAGGACAGAGCCATTGGTGGAGTCGAGTAGGGGTGGCGTGGTTATGTGGCTGTGTCTGAGCACAATGTGCCTGGGAGCCTTGACTCCCTGTTTCCCTTTAACACTACAGGGTCCCCTCATTCTTGTACTCTGGGTAAACACCCCCACTATATCTGACTCAACCAAGTCCAGGAGCCTTGACTCCCTGTTTCCCTTTAACACTACAGGGTCCCCTCATTCTTGTACTCTGGGTAAACACCCCCACTATATCTGACTCTACCAAGTCCAGGCAGAGTCAAGTGTGTTTTTTGGTCTAGAAAGACAGAATTTCAGAACTTATTTTACTGAATTAAATTTTTTTCTGTAAAAATATGTGCCTCTCACGCTGGTCTGCAATAATCATTATTGTAGTACATCATCAACACTTGATCTGAATGCATATTCATGTAAATATCTTCAAATGTCACTAAAGTTACCTCATGAACCAGATCACTCATTCCAGTTTATTATATAAACTTAGGTATATACATGAGCTTAACTATGACACATTGCAGATCCTAAGGTCATAAGGAATAACAGCTAACTTGAAGCCGGGAAGATGTTATTCAGGCCAGTGTCCCACTCATCCCCTAACTCAGTGAAGGCACACAGGAGATGGTCAATCAGTTTTAGAGCATTGAATGCATGCATAGATCCATGGATGGATGGACGGATGGATGGTGAATGGGCAGATGGAAGAAATAAGCAAATGTGTTTAAAAAAAATCTAGGCACACCTACCTATTTCATGGAGCACTAAGAAGGAATTCTTTCTACTCAGCCTCCAGTACCTAAACATGGCCCAACCCTTACTCTGTAACTCTCCTTTCTGCCCAAGCCTATATGTGACATAATAGGGAAGTAGAGAATGAATTATTCCTTCTTTCTACTCTTATTGTGTCATCTTTTAACAAACATGAAAATCTTTTAGGTAAACAGGATAAATTATTACAGCTAGCTCATGACTATTTATCTTCCAGCACTTTGGCGTATTACAAAGGTAATACTGTAGAAAACCCAGAAGTTGAGGTTATGAAGATCTTCTCATGGAGGTCATCATGAAATTGCATCCCAGTATCTATGATTTGGTCTCAAAGAATCTTCAAGAGGATGAGCTCTCTAACAGTACAGCACAACACCTTCATTTCAAAGACTGGGAGACCAAAGCCAGAGAGATCAATCCGCATCTTCAAATTCCTACAACTAATCCATGGCTGACAGGGGCTTCTCAGGTCTGCTGGGTCTATATTGACTTCTTTGCCCAATGAGTTTGACATGGATGTAGTTCCAATTTGTCCATATTTTTGCAAGATGGGGCATTTGAAACACAAACAAGGAGTGACTTGCCGAGAATCAGAGGCAAGAGGATTTGTGCACATAATGAGATTTTATGGTCAAAATTGATACTGTAAACAAAATCATTTTATTAATGCATCAAAGGTCAATAGTGAAGGCAAAAATGTTAAACTCCTTTTGAATATAAAATAGCAATTCAGAAGTTATAGTCTTTGATTCCCAAGTTAATCTAAAGCAAAATAGCATTCATATTTCATTGCTTCCATAATGAAACAAACATTGAAAATTCAAACCATTATAACCTTATTTCAAGAAATAAATATCAGAATGTGTCCTGGCTGGGCCTGGTATAGTTTGAACCTAGCAACAAAAGCCACCCATAGCTGGAGATACTACTGTGATCAGTTAACAATGTTGACCCCAACTCTCCAAGAAAGGGCCACATTCATGGTTAGGATTTTCTATGCGCTATAAATTGTTCAACAGCCACTTTCTGAAATGATTAAAATGTTTCATATTTCAAAGTGAAAGCTTTAATTTTCTTCAAATTTACATTACTCTAAGCACTTTATCGCTAACAATGCCAACTGAGAAATGATGAAATCATTAAACTAACACAGCCATGTATGTGTAATATTCAAAGAAACAATATCAAAGCATCACCAAGATAAAAAGGTTTAACTTAATAAGAGTTCTTGAGAACAAATAGATTTTAAAGTGAAACTACACAATCCACCAACAATATATTTCACTGAATATAGTAGTATATTAAAGATAGCCAATAAATTTGATTCTTTTTGAGACAACATTATGTAAGCATTATTTATGGAATGCATTTGACTATTACATTGAGTGACATCTTTTTATGGTACAAAATCATTGCTATTACATGCAAGGTTTTGTTTTTTTTTCTTTTCAATTTTTATTTAATAAATATGAATTTCCAAAGTAGAATTTTTGAATTATAGCAGCTTTTCCCCCCATAATCTCCCTCCCCCCCACAACCATCCCATCTCCCATTCCCTCTCCCATCCCATTCTACATCATGATTCATTTTCAATTATCTTTATATACAGAAGATCAATTTAGTATATACTAAGTAAAAATTTCAACAGACTGCACCCACAAAAACACACAAAATATAAAGTACTGTTTGGGTAGTAGTTTTACCGTTAATTCGCGTAGTACAACACATTAAGGGCAGAGGTCCTACATGGGGAGCAGGTGCACAGTGATTCCCGTTGTTGATTAACAATTGACACTCTTGTTTATGGCATCAATAATCACCCAAGGCTCTTGTCATGAGCTGCCAAGGCTATGGAAGCCTCTTGAATTCACCAACTCTGATCTTATTTAGACAAGGCCATAGTCAAAGTGGAAGTACTCTCCTCCCTTCAGAGAAAGGTACTGCCTTCTTTGATGGCCCATTCTTTCTGCTGGGATCTCACTCACAAAGATCTTTCATTTAGGTCATTTTCTTTGCCACAATGTCTTGGCTTTCCACGCCTGCGAAACTCTCATGGGCTTTTTAGCCAGATCCAAATGCCTTAATAGCTGATTCCTTGAGGCCAGAGTGCTGTTTAAGTCTTTTGACATTCTATGAGTCTGCTGTGTATCCTGCTTCCACATGTATGGTTTTGAAATTTTATAGATTTTGTTTGTTACTTTTAACTAAGATTTCTATTTCTCTGCATTTAGCCTATAGTTGATCTGCAGAAATAAAGATAAACACACACAAAATATTCCTGTATGATGATCTCAATTTGTTGAAATCCCTACATAGCTATTATATCTTTTCTGTATATGAGACCCAGAGAAACTAAGGGACTTGCCTAAAAGGATGTAACCATTTAGGTGTAAAGCCAAACAGAATTTAGGATTCTTATCTCCAAACCCCAAATAAGAGGCTTTATGATGAAGAGGAAGCATCATGAGGCTAAGAAGTCATGGATTCTAGTCCTACTCTTATTCCAGAAGCAAGTTTTCTAACCTCTGGGACTCCATCTTCTCCAGAAAGGAGCTATGTATCAGTAGCGGTCAATACTTTATGGTTATTTTACCACGTGGAGCACTTACTATGTTCCAAGTGCACTTGACAATGGACAGCATTGCCAATCACTCCAGTGGATGCTCAGGCTGCAGTCAGGCAGGCTTCAGTTCCCATATCAGTTCCATAACCATTAGTTCTGTTCCCTTGAGCAAAATAACTTCTCTGTGGCTCAGTTTCTTCATCTACAATGGAAGTAATAAGAATTCCTATTTCATGAAGTCATTGTGAGATTTAAATAAAACAATGCATGCAAATAGAGCACTTCACACATCCCTGGTACTTACCAAAGGCTCATAAATATAAGCAAACTTAATTTTAATTCTTTTATTGTAAATAGTAAATGAAATAGCCTGTAAATGAGGCTAAATAGCCTCTAAAGATTTATATGGTCTGTCTACCTCTGTGATTCCATTCTGGGGAATAATACTATCATGCTCATTGAACAATTTCTGTAGTGACCAATACCTGGATGTAAATAGTGGAGGGGCAGCCAATCTATCATATATTAGTTAATTATTCTAACTTAGTGGTAAAGTGATTTCTAACATACTCAAGGAAATAGACTTAAATTTCTGAATTTCTAAATTTCCAAATTTTTCTATTTCATGTTTGTTGCATCACTCATTTTTTTAAAAGATGTGTCATTTGGTAGTACAGTCTTGAAAGTTGGCTGAATTGTGTAGTGTGCTATTTGCAGTCTTATATTTAGAAGAACTATTAATGGAACTCTAAACTCTTTTTGAAGGTTTGAGAGGTAAGACTGGACCACTGGGTCTTGCTGGTGAGAAAGGAGACCAAGGAGAGACTGGGAAGAAAGGACCCATGGGACCAGAGGGAGAGAAGGGAGAAGTGGGTCCAGCGGGGCCTCCTGGACCAAAGGGAGACCGAGGAGACCAAGGGGACCCAGGGCTGCCTGGAGTTTGCAGATGTGGAAGCATCGTGCTCAAATCTGCCTTTTCTGTTGGCATCACGACCAGCTACCCAGAAGAAAGGCTACCTATTATATTTAACAAGGTCCTCTTCAATGAGGGGGAGCACTACAATCCTGCAACAGGGAAGTTCATCTGTGCTTTCCCAGGGATCTATTACTTTTCTTATGATATCACATTGGCGAACAAGCACCTGGCAATTGGACTGGTACACAATGGACAGTACCGGATAAGGACCTTCGATGCCAACACAGGGAACCATGATGTGGCTTCAGGATCCACGGTCATCTATCTGCAGCCAGAAGATGAAGTCTGGCTGGAGATCTTCTTCACTGACCAGAACGGCCTCTTCTCAGACCCAGGCTGGGCAGACAGCTTATTCTCCGGATTTCTCCTGTATGTTGACACAGATTACCTGGATTCCATTTCAGAAGATGATGAACTGTGATCAGGACACGGATCTGAATGTTCCAAGCTCACTCTAGCACATCCTTTCATTTAATCTGCGATTCTAGAATGCAGAGAAACCAGGAATGGGATCAAACAGACTCCCACTCAGATTCCAGAGCATTTACAGACAGTTCTAGAAGAATCTATTAAAACAAGATAAACCACCGAACAGCTGAAACCAGTCAAAAATGAACTATGTAAAACAACCCCAGATATGAATTATCTTGAAAGTGATGTTCAAAAATATTTAAACAGATGAAAGGCAATTTTAACAAATTTTATTAAATGACCTGAGTGATAAAATCAATTGTCAAGATATTGCCTTATTAAATGTTCATAAAATTACATTTTTGTCTGTTATTTCAGAGTCATATCATCCCAAGCAAAATCTTTGATAATTCTCAAAGTCTACAGTAAGTCAAAAACCAAAGGTAAGAGATGCTGAATATTTTCAAGCAAGCTAAAGTGAAGTAATAAGTTTCTTTTGTTTTATTATTCATTTCTTCATGTTTTGTACAAATTCACACAAGGCTTTACTGAGTCTTTATGGACCAGATGTTATGGAACCGAATCAGATTTAATTATGACTTAAGACAAAATCCTACCTTCATACTGGCTAGTGTATGGTGAGCATGGTCTCACATGTCAGTGTCATGAGCACCAAGCAGAAAGAGTGAATCCAGGCTACAGGCACATAATAGCACTTGCTTTTCTTGGGCTAGGACCCAGAGAAGAGTTTGCACATGGAAAAACATTGGATGGCTAAAGTGTGTGTGTTTAAGTGTAGGGTGATGATTGCAAAGACAAGAGGAACTTAGCATCTACATTCCCCCCATCCTACCCTCAACCCATCATTAGTATTTTCTGTTCTTTTTTTTTTCAGTTAAGTTTCAGCACTTAAGAAGAATTGTGTATTGATTACAGTATTCAACCAAAAGTATTAAGTAGAACAAACAAAAAAAATACTAAGAGGGATAACATATTAAGCTGCTCATCAACAGTCAGGGTGAGGGCTGATCAAGTCACTGTTTCTCATAATATTCATTTCACTTTAACAGGTTTCCTTTTTGGTGCTCAGTTAGTTGTCACCTATCAAGGAGAACAAGTGGTATTTGTCTCTTTGGGATTGGCTTATTACACTCAACATAATGTTTTCCAAATTCCTAACAGGGATCACTTTTCAGTTAAAATTTAAACACCTAAGAATAATTGTGTGTTAATTACAGAGTTCAACCAATGGTACTAGAACAAAAAAAATACTAAAATGGATAAAGTATTACATTGTACATCAACCGCCAGGACAAGGGCTGATCAAGTCACTGTTTCTCATAGTGTCCATTTCACTTCAACAAGTTTCCCCTTTGGTGCTCAGTTAGTTGTCGCCAATCAGGGAGAACATATGATATTTGTCCCTTTGGGACTGGCTTAATTCACTCAGCATGATGTTTTCCAAATTCCTCCATCTTGTTGCAAATGACTGGGTTTCGTTCTTTTTGACTGCTGTATAGTATTCTATAGAGTACATGTCCCATAATTTCTTTATCCAGTCTACTGTTGATGGGCATTTGGGTTGATTCCAGGTCTTAGCTATTATGAATTGAGCTGCAATAAACATTAATGTGCAGACTGCTTTTTTGTTTGCCAATTTAATTTCCTTTGGGTAAATTCCAAGGAGTGGGATGGCTGGGTTGAATGGTAGGGTTATATTCAGGTTTCTGAGGAATCTCCAGACTGACTTCCATAGTGGCTTACCCAGTTTGCATTCCCACCAACAGTGGGTTAGTGTTCCTTTTTCCCCACATCCTCTCCAGCATCTATTGTTGGTAGATTTCTGAATGTGAGCCATTCTAACTGGGGTGAGGTAGAACCTCATTGTGGTTTTGATTTGCATTTCCCTGATTGCTAGTGATCTTGTACTGCAAAAGAAACAGTCAGGAAAGTGAAGAGACAACCGACAGAATGGGAAAATATATTTGCAAACTATGCAACTGATAAAGGGTTGATAACCAGAATCTACAAAGAAATCAAGAAACTCCACAAGATCAAAACAAACAACCCACTTAAGAGATGGGCCAAGGACCTCAATAGACATTTTTCAAAAGAGGAAATCCAAATGGCCAACAGACACATGAAAAAATATTCAAGATCACTAGCAATCAGGGAAGTATTTTCTGTTCTAATGGGGTGAAGAGCCTGAAGTTAGAAGCAGCCTGGGGAGTGGCAGGGGAAGTAAAGATGGAAATCGAGAGAAAGAGGCAGTAATTACATCATTCCCTGAAATTGTTCAGTACGATCATTTGCCAGGAGAAACGCTTATCCTAATGATTTCCTGACAAGTAAGGGCACCCACTACTTTACACTGTGGTAAGACGTTGTTTCTCATGAGTTTCCTAGGTCTCAAATTCAAATAAAGCAAAGCCTAAGGCTGCCCGTGTATGAGGGAGCTGTTGGAGGAATGGACAGGGGGAGGAGGGAGAGCACCCCACACCTGAGTGAAGAGAGATCCTCTGAAGCCTTGAGCACCCTTCGTTCCACTCTCTCTTCAGCACCAGCTTCCTGTTCCCACCGACCTTCAGTTTCTCAGTTGATCTCACCCATGACTCAGACGCATGTGTTTCTCTTGCAGTGATGGTATTCCCTGAGTTTACCTCTCTGAGGCTCTTCTAGACCTCCTTCCATGCATTGCTTTCTTTGCCCATTCATTTAATATTATTCTTACTGCCTCCTGTGCTGGCTCTGCCACGATTGATTTGTTGAATGCAGAAGAAGGCCAAGATGAAAATGACACAGCCTCGTTGATGTTAAAGATTCCAGGAAGGAAAAGACTTGCACACTTCCAAAAATGCCTTTTATTGTGGAAAACAATGCGCTAAAATATGGCAAATGCTGTGTTGGAGATAAAAATGCCACGAGAGAGGAGAAAATGTTTACATCCAACTTAGAAAGTGAGAGGGGAGGAACAGGGGACTATTTTCTGCTCCCTGGGCTTTGAGTAACAAGTAGGACTTGGAGGGGCCCAAGCAGAGAAAAGGACACTTGAAACACTTGTGATGATGTGGACAATGCATGAAAGTGAGAACAGAGATCCAGAAGATAGACTGCATTTGAAACAGCCAAAAAGTGCCAGCCTGGAGAGCGATGACTGTGTTCAGAAGAAAGTGAGGAGGCCCTGTGAGCTCCAGAGCCAGGTGCTGCCGTTATCAGAGGAGAAATTTAGTTATATGTAAGGGCAATCATGCTTCTCCTGCCTTTCAGAACTACCTTGCTTCCATTCCGATTGTGCACTTGTTGCTCTCTGTGAGTCAGGAGACAGACAGCAATGAATATTGGACAGAGAGAGAAAAGCTGGTCCAAAGTAGTCCCTTGCTTACAAGTAACTGCTGAAGCCACAAACTATGAAAAAGAGTCAACAGAAATATTTACTCCGACAAACAAGAAAGTGTGGGCTTATTAAGGACCAAAGGATTTGATGGAAAATTTGAAAAATGGGAAAGTTTTTGCAGACAGTAATGACCCCCCCAAAACTGTGTAATTAAGTTTCTTCTGATCATGATCCAAAAATGTATTCATCTTTTAAACATTGTTTGCTTATATTTTAAGTATTTCTTTCATTACAAAGTCTGTTTTGAGTAGCTCATTAAACTGACGATCCTGTCGTTGGTTCTCGCTCAGGAATGCATTTTATTTTGAAATATCTGATGAGGTCATGATGCGCATCAGAGACCTGAAAAAGGAAAGACTATTTTGGTATTCAAAGGATAGGATCTTAAGCAAATACAGGTGACTATTGTTGCTTCAAACATCACAGATATAATTCATCCAGATTTTTTGATATTTGTGTATTAAAGTGACTTTGGTTTTAAAAAATTTCAAGTCACATTGCAATCATTCTTCATGAGGACTGACTTAAAATGAATATGTTTAAGTGATATTTATTGACTTTATCATCTTGTTCCAGAGTGTTTAAGCCATTTACAAAGATAAATAAAATACAGAAATAAAACAGAAGTAAGACACAGATGACAGGAAAAGAGCAAAACAAAAAAGGGCTGGAATGAGGCTAATACAAAACTATGTGAATGTGAACATGTATGTGCCTATGTGCTCATTGATAGGGCACATGTGTTTCCTTGTATTCTTGTGTGCACAAAGACATCCACACAGCATTTATCATTGTGAATAATGTTGCCTGTGATGTAAAACAGATCCCATAAATTCTGACTATACTTTTCTGTATGACTCTATGAAAAAGATTGTAGGCATAAATCCATTATAAATATTAGCTACTTTTGCTCTTTTCTCTCTTTCTCTCTTTCTCTCCTTCCTTTCTCTCTCTCTCTCCCACCTGTAGTTCCATGTTGAGTAGGTAAGCCCAAAACTTAGTGTATTGTATACATTGTCCTTTCTTTCCTCACTGAGTTTTATTCAACGTAAAATTCTTACAGTTCTATCCTCTAAATATACAATTCTGATTCAATGTACCTATCTATCTTCAGTGTCAAGGTTTCATTCATATATTCATCATCATTTTCCCAGATTATTTTTAAACTTTGTAACTGATCTCTTGGCTCCAGCCACAACTCTCCAGTCTATCTTCCATACTACACTGGGTATATTACACTGGGTATATACTTCTAAAATGCAAATCTAATCATGTCACTCCCCAGCTTAAAAACCAGTACTAGTCCACCCAATAGCTACATAATAAAAATTACCTTGTCACTAGCAAGCATACCTTTCTTTTTTTTTTTTTTTTGACAGGCAGAGTGGACAGTCAGAGAGAGAGAGAGAGAGAGAGAGAGAGAGAAAGGTCTTCCTTTGCCTTTGGTTCACCCTCCAATGGCCGCTGCGGCCAGTGCGCTGCGACCGGCGCACCGCGCTGATCCGATGGCAGGAGCCAGGTGCTTCTCCTGGTCTCCCATGGGGTGCAGGCCCAAGGACTTGGGCCATCCTCCACTGCACTCCCTGGCCACAGCAGAGAGCTGGCCTGGAAGAGGGGCAACTGGGACAGAATCCGGTGCCCCGACCGGGACTAGAACCCAGTGTGCCGGCGCCGCAAGGCAGAGGATTAGCCTAGTGAGCCGTGGCGCCAGCCCGCAAGCATACCTTTCTTTCATATCCTTTCTGGTATCCATGCTCATTTTCCTTGGGAAGGACCATACTCCCTTATATGCCAAGTCTATGAGTTTCTCAATGGAATTGATCCTTCCAATATGCAAATCTCCATCCTGATCAATCAGAGCACAGCATTGCAATCACCAAAAAGAACTGCTTCAGGAAATCAGTAAGAGCCAATGAGCTTTTTTTGGGACTTCCAAAGAAAATAATCTCATTTTTTCCCATTGGACTTAAGGCCACAAGACTCTAGCAGTAATCTTACCAGAACGAAGCATGATCTCATTTGAGAATGGAGTTTTTATCCATAGATGAAGAAGCAGAGAGACACAGTTAAAGAAAGGAAATGGGGTCTTGGGGGTCATCATTTGGACCCAGATCTTCTTTGGACTTTTCAGTTAGGTTAACCATTAAATGCTAATTTTTCTTAAGCCCTCTGAGTAGTTAGTCAAGGCAAGAGATGTTATCTAACCTAATATCAACACTAGCACGGCTCATTGGGCTCTTCAGGATCTAGCCTCAACCTTCTTTTACGGTCACATCTCCAAAAAGCCACCCTGGGAACTAGTGTATAGTCATAGTGGCAGTGCCAATAGTGGCCACTTGCTGATCACTTTTAAAGTGCTTTTGGGGTGTTGATCCACTGAGTCCTTGCTATGGCCTGCATGGTTGTGTTTCCCCAAAATTCATAGGCTGATGCATACTCCCAGTGGGATGGGCACTAGGAGGTGAGGCCCTTGGGAAGAGAGTAGCCCAACGGACTCTGCTTTCATGAATGCCACTAGTACTCTCATGGAAGACTCAGAGAGCTGCCTTGCCCCTTGCACCACGCAAGGACACAATGAGAGGAATGCTGTCTGCGTACCTGGAAGCGAGCCCTCCCCAGACTCCAGGTCTCCCAGCACCCTGACCTCGGGCTTCTCAGCCTTCAGAACTATAAACTATTGTTCATATCCTAGCACATTTTTTGTATTTTGTTGCAGCAGTCCAAATGGATAAAGACAGTCCTCATAACAATTATCCTTCCTGAAGGACAGAGAGGTTCAGAAATGTGTGAAGTAAGTCTTTCAGAATGTCTGTTGTCAGAAAGACGAAAAATAAATGGTGTCAAGGATGTGGAAGAAGGGGACCCTTCAAACTGTTGATGGAAATGTAAATAATACAGTCATTATGGAAATAATATGAGGGTTCTCAAAAGAATTAAAAACAGAACTACCATATGATCCAGCAATCCCATTACTCAGTATATATCCAAAGAAATGAAATCAATATGTTGAAGAGATCTCTTCACTCCCATGTTTATTGCAGCATTACTCAGTAACCAAGATATGGCATCAACCTAACAGTCTACAGCTGATGAATGGATGAGAAAAATGTGAGATACATGCAAAATGGAATTCTATTCAGCCATAGAATATGGAGAAATTCTGACATTTTCAACAACATGGGAAAACCTAGAAAATATTATATTAAACAAAATAAGCCAGGCAAAGAAATACAAATGCCGCATAATCT